CAGGGAGCGGTCAAACTAAGAGTGTACCTAGGGGAAGGAAAACCCTGATTCCAAACCCGGGCAGGACGGGCTCGTTACCCTTGGTCGGGAACCGTCCTAGGTCAGGTTCAAGACCGATATAAAACCGCTGCTTTGAACCCAAGATGACGAGCTCAAAGACCAGTTTTGACTTACCGGACCAGGTCGACCGGACGGCCAGGTCCCGGCGCGAGGGGGCTAGTGTCCCGGGTGCCCCTGCGTCGTCATCCAGCGACGGGCAAGTGGAAGAGTGCACCGCAGGCTTTTCCACCTACACTGCGTCTGCGAAGACGGACGAGGAGCGTCCGGTTTGCCCGAGAGGGCGTGCGGTACCACGGGTGGTACTAAAGAGGGTGGACTCATCAGCGTCCATTACCTCGACGAATTCCAGAATATTCTTCGAGTCCCTCGGATGTGCCCTTACCGGATGGGGACAACATGAATGTCTCATCCGGAGACGAGGCATTCACTCGCCCACCATCCGATGAGGAAGGGCTCAAAACATGGGCAGCAACCCAGTTAGCGAGGCCGCATGGGCGCGGTCGCCCTCCTACGCATGGCCAGTTCATCGGCCTTGGGAGGGCCCGCGAGGCGCTGCGCAATGCGCGTTTAGCGCAGAAGAGGCAGGCAGCGGAAGCCGCGGCGGGGGGACCCAGTAAGAGGCGCTCCGCGTCCGGGTCGGAGTCGGGTCGCGCCTCCGACACGGAGTNTACTCGGCGCCTCCGCCNAACGTGCCTGACGGTGNGAGGAAGCGATGTCGAGCGAGAGTGTGAGACGCGCTCTGCGCTGGACCTCGTCGACCTTGTATATAAGGCCGTCGGGGTCTGTGACGAGGTGGCCACACGTGCCAAGCACCTCAAAGGCGCTGACGTCAAGGCGCTCAGGGAGGCAGGCCGGGACGGGCGTAGGGTTGCGGATGCACTCTACGTCCGTCTCAAGGACAACCTGGCGGCGAGGAGAGCTCCAGTCCTCCCCCAGGTTTACAAGGAGAACGAGAAGCTTAGACTAGAAGTCAGACTTCTCAGGGAAGAGGTGGCTGCCTTGCAGGCCAAGGTCAAGATGCCACCGCGAGATGCCATTTGCGCATATATTTACAAAGAGTTTAATTCCGCGGTGTCGGTCTATGAGATTAGTACGGCCTAATTTACGGCGGAGTTTTGTCGGTAGTTTACGCGCTGTTTTAATAGACGCGATTGATAGATTTCGGTGCGGCGGGCGCGGTAATTGCTTAAAAACTAATTCGGGGAAGATATTTACACGGGCCTTATATACAAGTTAGTCGTGAGAACGACTGTTTTCGATGTGGCGGTTACAACGGCCGTTTGTGCGCCATAGCGCCGGAAGTCAAGAATCCCTCGACGGAAATGATATGGCGGCCGAGTCAACACCTCGGATTGCCGGAAGTCGAGTCAACACCTCGACGGAAATGGTCGGTATGGCGGCCGAGTCAACACCTTGAATTGCCGGAAGTCGGTCTCTCGAGTCAACACCTCGAGGGGAACGGTCGGGAATGGCGACCAAGTCAACACCTCGGATTGCCGGAAACACCTCAGGATCGAAAACGGTATCTCCGAGTCAACTCCTCGGAGAGCGGTAGCGGAATAGGAGTCTCGAGTCAGCTCCTCGAACGCCGGGAAAGGAATAGGTCCTTACTGCTCAGATCGGCCGGCTTTTATACCCCGGAGCGGCCTACAGTCCGTCCAGGGTCGGCATGTGGGACGCGGGTGTTTGCGCGCCGCGGCATGCACCTGTGTTCTGATAAGCGCGTGTTCAGTACGTGTCGCTATAGGCGCGTCGCCGTTATTATAATACGCGATTGGTTCTATAGGTAGGTCGCAGAAACTATTGCGCGTAATACAGTATAACGATAAATGTTTAATATATAGATATATATATATATATTGATACAAAAAAAATATCAAATGATAAACAGAATATAGTAGAAAAATATATATACAAACAAAAAATAATAGATGGAATATATATATATTTGTGACAAGGTTTGCCCCGTTACATACCGACCAAGACTCGGCGGTCTGCCTCCCACCACGGACACTTCCACGGTGTGGCCGCGCCGCACTGGTGGCACTGTGCCGTCGGTTCCTTCCCGATGCGACTCAGGTACTCCTCGAAGCATCCGTGCCCGGTGAGCACCTGAGTCACCTTATAGGTGAGGTGGCCGATCCCGTTCTGTAACCATACCTTTAGATGGGGTCGGACCACCGCGATGACTTCTTGGACGGCCGCGCGCGGTTCGTCCAAGTGCTGCTTCCAGTTCAGGAGCAGCTGTCGTCGGGTCTGGCGCTCCGCGTCAGCGAGAGCCCCCTGCACGACGTTCAGTGCAGCGCCATTCTGTAGCAATTTGGCCCGGCGAGAGTATCTCGCCGAGTACTTTGACAGGAGGGCAAGAGGGGGAACTCCCGCCAACACACCCGCCGTCTTCGTGGCCACGGTGCGGTAGCCGTGTATTTCGCGGAGAGCAGCCACTCGCTGGGCGGCGCAAAGTGAAGCAACCTTGCTTTGCGCCTCCGCCCCCGCTGCGAACTCCGCTCAGATAGGCGCTACGTAGAGCGCCACCGCGTGGACCACGTTGACATACAGACGGCGAGCAATCTGCCGCGGCCCCCCGAAATTCGGCAATAGCCTGGATAAGCTATTTGCCACCTTGCAAACCCGGGGAGCTAGGCGAGCAAAGTGCTCGCCGTAGCGCTATCTTGGGTCGAGGTGCAGACCAAGGTACTTGACCGTAGTACCCACCTCGATCTGGGCCTCACCTACCTGGAGGCTGGCGTCTCTGGGCTGTCCACGACAGGGGCCATGGAACCACATAGCCTCCGTCTTGTGGACAGCCATTTTGAGACCCTCTCTATTCGGCCGAAGACAAAGTTTGTGCCTATTTCGGCCAACATCCGCGTCTTCTCCCAATCCGCCCCAGAAGCCACGACGAGGGTGTCATCTGCGTAGCAGATAACATCCAGCCCCCGGGGCAGAGCGGCCTGGATCACCACATTGTACCCGAGGTTCCACAGCAGGAAGCCTAAGACAGACCCCTGCGGAACCCCGCGGTACATATCCCTGCTAAGTGGTGATCCATACCGGCCAGTATACTCGATCTTCCTGCCGCAAAAGTAGTCACCGAGGATCCTACTGAGATAGGGTGGGGCCTCGTGACGGTCTAGGGCCCACTCTATACTATCCCATGGGAGGGAGTTAAAGGCGTTAGAGATGTCGCCATCCAAGGACACTGCCAACGCCCTCCCCCTCTGTCCGACCGACGAGTTTGTGAGGGATTTGAGTCGAAAGACAGCATCGACTGTCGATCGTCCCTCACGGAACCCAAAGTGGCAGTCGGCCAGGTCGAGACTTATCCATGACAAGTGCTCGATGAGGCATGCGGCAATTACGCGCTCTAAGAGCTTGCCTGTCTCATCAAGCAAACAGATCGGCCGGTACGCGGACGGCGAGTCCGCGGGTCTGCCACCCTTGCGGAGGAGCACGAGGTTGGCCGCCTTCCAATCTGGAGGGAACCATCCTGTCCTCAGGCAGTCTGTGAAGATCTGCCTGAGGCGCTCACCCAGAGGACCCTGCCCGAAGGCGAATCCCAAGACTTTTCCGGGCACGCCGTCGAAGCCTGGCGCGGTGTTTTTGCGCGCTATCCGACGGACGGCCCGACGGAGCTCATCTTCAGAGACCTCCAGTTTGGCGGACCACGGAACAGGGTGGTCCGTCTCGGGCTCCCGGGAGGACCACTCTCCCTTATCCTTGGGGAAGAGAGTTGACAGGACCCTCTCTAGGAGCTGGGGGTCTGGGCTCTTCGTAATCGGGAGCGTCCACGGCCGGAGTATCTGGGTGACCAGCCGATAAAGACGCCCCGACGGATCGGAATCCAACGTCTCGATGAGCTCCGTCCACGCTTGGGACTTTGCCTTGGTGATGGCGGCTTGGAGGGCCTTGCGCGCTGCACGTAACCTCTCCTGCGCCATCACCGCTGCCTGTTCCACCTCGTCGTCGCCAGGAAGACGACGGCGGGCGTGGGTGCATCGGTGATTGGCCTTGACGCACTCGCGCCGAAGCTGCGCTATCTCTTTCGACTACCAATACACCGACCTCCGATTCGGCAGGCCCCGGGAACGCGGCATCGCAGTGTCGCAAATGCTAACTAGCGTTTCCCGGAACCACCAAAGTTCTTTTCGGAGGTCCCGCGGCCCTGCCGGTGGTTCCGGCCAGGCCGCGATTTGGACAGCACCGGACAGAAGTTGTGGGTCCAGTTTCTTTAGGACCTACCCCCTGGGCCGGGGTTTCCTTTTCGCCTGACGACCCCGAAGGCGCGCAGGGAGCACTTCGACCCTTATTGTGATATAGAGATGGTCATAAGGGGCTCCGTGTCTATTCTGACGCACCATTTGTGGACACTCCGTGCGCGGCTAAGGGAGCCAATGCGAAAGTGACGTCGACAATCGAGCCTCCACCTTGTCTTACGCACGTGTGTTGCGAGCTCACATTAATTATCGTGAGCCCGCAGGCCGCCATGGTGTCTTCTAAGACACTTCCTCTGTTGTCAGTCCTGGGGGAACGCCAAGTCTCAGACTTGGCGTTGAAGTCTCCCAGGACCAACACTTGGCGAGCCGAGTGTTGCTTCACGGCCAACTCGAGCTCGCCCAGATACCTTTGAAACTCGAGGAAGGGCTTTGACGGCGAGAAGTATCCCCCGACAACTACAAATTCCCCTTATTGTACGACGAGATACCCGTCGCCTCTCTCCAAAGGAGAGAAAATGACGGCCTCGTCTCTAGTTCCCCACCGGAAATACATCTGGCGGTGGCGAACGTGCCATCTTCCGACTCCGCCCACGACGGGTAATCGGGGACGTTGTACGGCTCGGCCGCCACCGCCAGAATCCCATCCCACTCCGCGAGCTGCTGGATCATAAGATCTTGGGCAGCTCGGGAGTGGTTGAGATTACATTGGAGGAGGAGTAAAGGCTAATGTTTCTGTGGAGTAGGTGGCTGCTCCACCTCCATCTTCTCTTCCCGGGCACCGCTCAGAGAGGGCTGGGTAGCTTTTTCCCCTAATGATGCCGGCGCGGGTGTTATTGCACCGGCATTAGCTCCTTCCTTCGGGGCGGAGAACTTAGCTCCGTCCCGTTTGGCAACCTTCTGCGTCCTCTTGGCTCCCCCGCGGGGGATCGGGGCGCAGGCTTTTCCACCTAGCCTGTGGGCTGCGGGCCGGCCGAGGTCGGTGCACAACGGGCAGTGGGGGGCCGCATCACAAGTTGCGACTCCGTGGCCCTTCTTGCCGCACCGATAACATCGGCTCCTCCGATCCTCCTCCAGCGCGGTATACGTGCACGTCGCAATGACATGCTCGCGCCGAAGACAGCGGTGGCATTGGAGAGGTCGCTGCTCTAAGGCCTCGACCGGCGCCCGCAGCCACCCCATACTCAAGGATCCGGTGTCCGTTACCTTGCGCTCTACGGCGACACCTGGACACCGGATCCATGCGGTGGACAGACCGTTAGGAGAAGCGCGAGCTCGGCCGACCCTTATATCGGTCGGCCGACAACCCCCAACGGCTGCCACCGCATCCAAAATCTCTTTGGGGGTGATCGAGTCATCAAGGCCCCGCACGCGTAATTCGCACGTTTTCACGGGACTCTTACCCCCAACTCCGGAGCCAAGGCGGCCATTGTCTCGTAAAGGCGGTCCGCCTTGGCTTTATTTTTCTCGCCGGAAACCTCTATAATTAGGACCCCGGTTACTGCTCTTTTTGGCCGGACTTCGTATATTCCGAAGTCCGACAGCTTTATCCGCCGCCGCATCCGGGCCAACGCTGCCGTCACATCTACGCCTTGCGCGTTGGCGGTGATAGTGATGGCCGCAGAACGCGGCGGCTTACTTACTTTGGGGCGGGTGGCTTGCTGCCCGGGCTTAACCTTTAGAGGGCCGGAAAACCAATATTTTAGCGCACCAGAATAACTTGTTCAATTTCTTTTTTTTTTTTATTAAATATTAATGTTCTTAATATTATTAGCAATTTTTAATATTATTTAATGTCAATTTGCCTGTCTCTCTCTCACTCACCCCGTACCCCTAATTTTCATGTGAAATATTCTAAAACAAATACATGGCTTAATTTGCGTGCGGCTGCAATTATAAACAAATTTATTTTTATTTGGGGTTTTTGAAGTTGCTATTTACTAGTAAAAAAATTTGGCAAAATTGTGAAAAGCAGATCAAAAATATATTTATTGATTACGCCTGCCCGTTTATCGTCGTCCGTCCTTGCCATACGTGAGAACGGCGCGTAGGAGCACCTGTCGCCTCGCGTTCTCTGGTAGGTCAGGCTCGAGATATACTTATTTTTTTACTTGTGTTGATACAACATTTTCCGTTACTTTTTATCTTCCTCATACTTTATTACTTTTGCTATACAATGAATACAGATGACGACAAAGCTTGGAGTAGTGGAGAGTCAGAGCCTGAAGAAGATGTTATTACAGACAAAACTTTTGCTTGAGATGTTGATTTACTTGATAACAAACGTGATGAGAATATACCAGATGTACACTATGATTCTTATTTTTACCCATCTATAAAAACTTTTACTGGTGAAGCACGTATTCGTGATCACGTGTCTCTAGACGAACCTACTCCATTAGAATGTTTGAAATATTTTTTTAATACATTTCTTGCAAATTTGATTGTAGAACAAACCAATGTTTTTCAAGAACAAAATCTCAAACCGGATCGAATACATATGAAGCCGTATCTCCTATCACTGAAGACAAATTATGGATAATGATTGCTTTATCAATAAACATAGGTCATGGTGTAAAAGAGCAACTAAAGGATTTTTGGAGCCAAGATCCACTGCTGTACACTCCAATATACGGCAAAAATCTATCTCAAAATGGATATCTTCAAATTTTACGATACCTTCACTTTTCTAATAATGAAGAAGTTTCCAATCATCCTTTGAAAAAAATCAAACCAGTGATAGATCATTTGAAAAAAAAGTTTGGTAATACTATTATTGCTGGTGAAAAGCTTTGCATTGACGAAAGTTTAGTCTTATGGAAAGGGAAGCTAAAATTCAAATAATTCTTACCATTGAAGAGATACCGATTTGGTATGAAGATATTTGAATTAGCGGACTGCGAAACAGGATTTCTCTTAGATTTTATAGTATATACTGGCTCAGACACTGATTATGAGAAATTTGAGTCAGGCAGTTCTGGTGATATTAATGCATATTTCATGCAACCTTATTGTAACGAAGGGCGTGTGTTATACACTGATAATTGGTATATATTTCCACAACTGTCAGACTACTTACATGACAGAAATACTGGTCTTTGTGGAACTGTAAAAAAAATCGTAAAGGAATGCCAAGTCTCAGTTCAAAGCTAGATCGTGGTGAAACTGAAATTGTCCACCGATTCTTGGATGGTAATCAAATGGATGAATAAAAAGGAAGTTTATGTATTGACAAGTATTTACGAACACTAGTTTTGTAAAACTGGTAGGAAACACTATAAAACCAATAAAGATATTATAAAACCTATTTGTATCGTGGATTATAACAAAACTATGGGTAAAATCAATGATATCGACAGACAATTATCTTTAACAGAATCTATTAGAAAATGTATAAAATGGTTTTAGAAAATTGTTTTTTCATTTAATTGATTTGATGTTGATAAATGCCCACAGTGTATTCAAGATGCTCACTAAAAATGCGATTTTGTTTTCTGATTTTTGATTGAGCGTTGTAAGAAATATTTTGCAAGTAAATTCTCAAGAAGTTTCATCATTTACATCGCCTGATCTTAGACTGAATGGACATTTCCCCAAAAAAATTCAAGCTTCAAATGATGGTAAAACTATCACATCAATGTGTTCTATGCACTATACACAAAAAGAGAAGTCGATCATCATATGAGTGTAAAAAATGTAAAACTTTATGCATTGAACCTTGCTTTGAAATTTATTACACTAAACGATCATTGTTGTAATTTATAAAATTAAAAAAAGCAATAAAAAAATTTTAAAAAAAATCAGAAAATAAACAAAAAAAACTAAAACAAAAAAACATAAAATTGAATAAAAAAAAAAAATGAAAAAAAAAAATAAAATAAATAAATAAACAAAAAAAATTAAACTAAAAAAAACAATTTTGCCACAGACGGTCCCAAACCTTTGTTTAAAAGAAGAGGGGGTTTCAAAATCATACGTGATGAAAGGGGTAGTGTTTGTAATATTATAGGGGTTATGTTCAGGTGTAATTGTGTTCTTGACATTGGATTTTGATTCTACATCGAAAAATACATCGGAAACATACATCTGCACTTCCAACTAAAAAAAATTAAAATTGCGTGATAGAAAGGGTAGTTTTTGTAATTTTGTAGGGGTTATTTTCAGGTTTATTGTATTTTTGACATCAGATTTGGATTCTACGTCGAAAAATACATCGGAAACATACATCTGCACTTCCAACTAAAAAAAATTAAAATTGCGTGATAGAAAGGGTAGTTTTTGTAATTTTGTAGGGGTTATTTTCAGGTTTATTGTATTTTTGACATCAGATTTGGATTCTACGTCGAAAAATACATCGGAAACGCATATTTATACTTTCAAATTGATGTAAAAGAAATTTTATATGCGGGCCGATCCCTTCCGGACCGGAAAGCCAATATATTGGCGCTACTCATGATCGACACTTAGTGTATGGTCAATCCATGATATAAGATACCTTTTTTACCACTTTACTAAGGCGGATATGCCCTCTCAAATCCCGGCCCTCTAAAGGTTAACGGCTCCTGGGCCAGCGGGCTTCCCCCCTGCTACCTTTGAGGAGGGCGCGGCTGGCTGTGCAGCCCTCCTCTTCTGCTTGCGGCCGACCACCTGGGACTAAGACGTCCCAGGCTCGGCCGCAGGAGTTCCCGTGGGCTGACTCGGCGGGGCCGGGTCCACATGGCGGGCGGCCTTAGACGGCACCGCCGGCCGGGCCCGCGTAACTCCTTTGTCGCTCTGTTCCTTGCCCTTTTCCCTCTTCTTAGTATTCTTCTTCTCCTTGGTGGGAGAAAAGGGGGGAGGCCAGGATTGGCAGCCGGAAGGCCGCGTTTTACGGCCCTTCGCCTCTCTCAACTTCTCCATCTTGAGGGCAGCCAGCTCTCGTCGGAGGTCTTTGAGCTCCTCATGCAGGGCGTCAACTTTGCCCCGCAGTCGCCCATTTTTACCAAGGACGTCGCCTAGTTTTGCCTGGACGGCGTCCTTCTCCATCTTGAAAAATGCGATCAAGTCACCCAGCCGGCAAACCTCTGCGTTCAAGGTGTTGTTGAGCGCTTCGAGGCGCTGGACCTCGCCTGTGGAGTTTAGCCGGCCCGCTATTATTGACACGGCCTCATGTAAGCCGGTCGCCGCCTCTTTAAATTGGCGGACGAACGTACCTTTAAGTCAAACTTAATTAAAAGGTCGATACGAGCAGTAAAATACAGGATNATCGTGTATAAATAGACGTTTTTATTCAAAAAACACAAACGTTTCGGTCCACAAGTTTGGACCTTCTTCAGTGTAATATAGATTACATCTAATGAAAATAATAGAGAATTAGCGCAAAAAATACATCGTAATAAAATTAAAAAATAACAGTTTAATAACACTCACTCAATTAAAACAACATAATAGTTCCCAACATCACTACATTATAATCAAATGATGTAAATCGAGTAAGACGATGAAATACAAGTACTGTGTACTGACAAGAAAACATAACACCAAGCAAATATATAAAGATATCCCCACTATATGATCAGAAGATCAAAAGTTCACAATAAGTCGAAAAACATGTTTATAAAAGTAAAAGTCTAAACATTTGATTTATATAATTCTAGAAAAGAGAAATAAGATTTCAAACCGTCAGTATCTGACATAACATTTAACGAATTGTCCTGCAACTTAATGTGGAGCATTTCAGAAACTAATCTCTTATAAAAAAATTTCTCAGTGTCTAAGATTTTAACATCATTCCAATTGAAGTCATGACCAATCTCTAAACGATGCTCCGTGACCACAAAAACAACAGCTGAATTTCTATTAATCTGATTTCTATGTTCACTAATTCTTGTTTTTAACTTGCGCTTCGTTTGTCCAACATAAGATACATTACAATTATTACAATTAATCTGATACACAACATCTTTATTTTGATCATGGGTTAACTTGTACTTTCTGACTTTAATAAATTTACTCAATTTATTCAAACTACGAAAAACCAAAGAGATCTCCTTCGTTTTTTTAAAAATTCTTGAAATAAAACAGGATAGTTCAGGAAAATAAGGAACAACAAAATATTTTCTAACAGCCTCAAGATCACTTGAAGCAAATTTATTGTCATTGTTTGAATTTACTCTGTTATTAATTAAAAACGTAATTCTATT